AGATTAAATTAGAAAATACTGCTCAAGTGCTTAGCAAGGTACCTGACACATAGTAGGCATTCACTACATTTTATTTATGTGTGTAATGCCTAGGTGGGAAAGATGAACGGTAGGGGAAGAGTTGAAGATAACGGGATGGGCTGCTCAAAATAGAGAAGTAGGAGGCAAGCCCAAAACTTAGCTCACAGTTTTACCGAGGGCCCTACTGAGGCAGCACCCACTTTCTAGTTAAACAAACGTTGTTTGCTTTGAAGCATTCAATACCTAAAATGAACTTCACAACCTTTTTTATTCACAGGGTTTACGTATCAAACCTACTGATTCAAATGGATCTTTTGTGTTTTCTCAATCAGATTGGCTTCCCTTACATCCTGGGAGCTGTAAGACCTGGACATTTCCCATCAATATGTCCTGATCTAATGATGTTGTTGTTAATATAAAACTGTGTGTGTGTGTGTGTGTGTGTGTGTGTGTGTGTTGAGAGAGAGAGAGAGAGAGAGAGAGAGAGAGAGAGAATGAATGAGAGGAAGAGATACCACAGCCATCACCTGTGTGTGCCCCTGTGTGCAGAGCTGAGCTCGCATTGCACACACACTGGATAGGAAGGTGGCCAGCTGCTGGAGGAAGGACAGACTCAGATCCACTTTACAGACCCATCAGTCACTGCCACTTGCTTTTTAAAAATTTTATTTACATTCCTTTTTTAAAAAACTAAACTTTTCATTTTGAGATAGTTATAGATTCCCATGCAGTTGTAAGAAATAATAGATCCTGTGTACTCTTTTCCATTTCCCCCAATGATAACATCTTACAAAACTATAGTACAGTGTCATAGCCTGGATATTGACATTACTCCATTGAGACAGAGAACGGTTTTGTCACCACAAGGGCCCCTCTGTTGACTTTGGTAAGTACATGCTCCCCACCCCATTCCCTAACTCTTAGCCATCTGTTCTCCATTAGTGTATCTTTTGAAGTTTAAAAAACCTTAAGGGCATGGGGTTTAAGATGAAGTAAAGTCAGGAAATTTAGCGAAGTGCCTGTGTTCTCCAGATATGGCAGAAGTTATTTTCACATGCTGGGAAGAAGCACAACCATTCCAGATTCAAGGGGAGGTTTTCTACTTTTGAAGTGCTGCTGAGACTGTCATTATAAACGAGAGTGAGTTAACATGTGATCAAATACCATTTACCATCTGTCTCATCATCTGAGGCAATGCTCTGTGCCAGCTTGGTGAATGAGGGCATCAGCTGTCCAGAAGTTTATTGCTCAAGGAATGTGCCTAACAACTAGTATTATGAATTCAGCCCTTTGAGAATTTTAAGAAATTGAGTTCCTGGTATTTAGTCAATATGTGCAGTTTTACATGCAGTTATATAAAGGTTTGTGATGTGGGTTTCTCCTTTTTTTTTGAATTTTCACCTATCTCTGCCTTCCTATCTTAGATTTGTTATTACAGAAATTGAAAATCCCACAGGAAAGCCTAGTTCCTATTCCCTGACTACTGGCCTCTCCACAACACTCCCCCCCCCCCCCCCCCATGTTCTGTACCTGGGCCTATTAAATAAGGTTCAATGATGTAGCTTCAAGGGAAGCTCAGTTTTGTACTGGATGACCTCAAAGGTTTCATCCAGTCTTTAGTCAGTGATGCTGCATCAATGAGCTCATGTAGCTACTCACATGTGATAGATAAGCATTCAGCACTCACAGGAAGGAGGTGCTCTCGGGCTGGCCGCAGAGACCAGGCAACAGAACTTTCTTCGTGGCTATGGATTATACATCCCAGTGGGAGGGGAAGAGGAGGCACAATTGGCCCTGGCACATGTAATTTTTCCAAGTACCGAAATGGGAGTGAGCTCTCCGGTTTACCACAGATCACACCACTTCCTGTTTATTGTTTTATAACTGGCCTGTTGAGCTTATTTTTACTTTTTCTCCCACTCTTGAAAACATTTGCACCGTGACCTCTGATTTAATCCCCAGATCTTGGACATTTAGGTGGCCATCAGCCTTTTAATATTAAACATTGTTTCAATGACCATCTTTGCGTGATCTGAATTAATCCCTACAAGTAAAGTGCTTGGGTTAAGCTTTACAAGTTTGAAATAGTGATATAATATTATTAGATTTCCCTGTTATTTTTGCTGTTTGAATTGCCAGTTTGTGTGATTTATCTGAATTAAGGGAGTTCTTATTTCCCTTATTGGTTGACACTATATATGGTGTCTTAACTGTTAAGATAATTTAAATTTTCAGGTACTTTGATTTTGCAGTTCTTTCTTTGTGGTTTATGGAAATGTATGCCATGCTTCAAAGATTTTTCCCATCCCACAATTATAAAAATATTAAATCTTTTTTTTAGATTTTTTTTCCTCTCCAATATTTATTCTGCCTGGAATTTGTCTTGATGTAAAGAGTAAGATAGTGCCTGGCTGGCGTTGCTCAGTGGTTTGAGTGTCAGCCCATGAACCTGGAGGTTGCAGTTCAATTCCTGGTCAGGGCATATACCCGGGTTGCTGGCTCAGAGGCAGCCAATTGTCTCTCTCATCATTGATGTTTCTGTTTCTCTCTCCCTCTCCCTTCCTCTCTCCGAAATGAATAAAAATATTTTTTAAGTCTTCATGATCATAATTTGGAATTGAAAAAGGAACAGAACCAAAACCAATAAGAATAATTTAATATAAAAATTGTAAGGTAGTGATTCAACTTCATATTTTTCTAAACAGCCAATTTTCCTAAAAACCAACCATTTTTAATATTCATGGTGAATTTTGAATTGCCAAATCTTGATAGCTTCTAGTATCTAAAAGTAGCTTGTTTTTATAGAAAGTTTCCACTTTAAATTCTGAGCTTCAGTATTTTTTTTTGCTTTTAGTACCTCTAGAAAGAAGCTGTGAACAGAACACCATATTGGTTTTGGCATTAACTTTAATGCATCTCAAATAGGCTGATTCTACAGAATTTGATCCAAAGTACTTCTGTGTCTTAATGCCTTTTTGCCAAGCAAAATTGATTATTTCTAACCAAAGGCCTTCAGGGCTGGACTGTAAAAAGAGTGAGGGGTCCTCCCAGGCTGTGGCAGATTATGTAATTTGGCATCAGGTACAATGCTTTTTATCTCTTCAGTTTCTTTTCTCTAGCCTTCAGTGGTCAGTGCCCCTGTTGTTAGAGACTTTTAGAGGTGTGGCAGGGAGAAGGCAAATTCAGAAACTTTCCGTCCGAGTCCTAGTACTGTAGCTTTAAAATGTTTTCTTTTTTTCTTGGCAGTTTAATGAACAGCTATGAGAAGTCTTTCTTGGATGGTTATTCCCAGCCTTCTCTGTCCTGTAGAATGTAGTCTGTATATTTTCACCTGCCGTGCTGTGTGATCACAGACCCTCTCTGTAACTTCAATTAGAGGTGCTGTCAGTTCTTCTACTTCAAAATTTTACCTCAGTAGCTTAGTGCCTTGGCAGATTCCTCTTATCATATTCTCCTAAATTATTATAGTGTCTTTTCAAGTAAATTTTTTTTTTTTTAAATATATTTTTATTGATTTTGTACAGAGAGGAAGGGAGAGAGATAGAGAGCTAGAAACGTCGATGAGAGAGAGTCATCGATCAGCTGCCTCTTGCACACACCCCACTGGGGATATGCCCGCAACCAAGGTACATGCCCTTGACCGGAATCGAACCCGGGACCTCTCAGTCCCCAAGCCGACGCTCTATCCATTGAGCCAAACCGGTTTTGGCTCAAGTAAATTTTTTATTGAGACTTGTTTTTAAGTCAAATTTGTAGACAGGAAGGCAGATTCTGCCATTGTGGATGAGAAGAGAGATATACAGGATGGTTAAAGCCACCAGAGTCATTCTGTTGGGGTTCATAACCTATCTTCTCCACCTATTGTGTCACTTGGCTAGCCTTCCGTTTCCTTACCTATCAAACATGGATAAAAGTCACAGCTGTCTCCTAGGACTGTTGTAAATGTCAAGTCAGATAATGCATGTAAAACACTTAGGACAGTGCCCGGCCTGCAGTAAACATTTAATAAGTGTTATTTTTCATCCTCTTTTTTCGTGTTGATTTGCTCTTCTAGGATGTTGCAATGCTGTTCCCCTATCCCCTGTTAATTGTAAAAAGAATACATGCCCATTGTAGAAAGTTTAGAAATGGAAGAAAGCTTAGAGAAGAACATTTCTCCTGCATTTTCATCACCCCCAGCAATAATCGCAGTTCACATTTTAACATATTTGCTTCCAGTGTTTTACATGTATATCTTGTAGTATACTTAGATATTACCATTTGAGATCATTCTACATGTATAATATGGTATCTTGACTTTTTTACTTAACATACCCTAAACATTTTGTCATGTCATTAAAAACATTTACACAATCATTCGTTTTCGTGGTTACAAAATAATCCATCATATTATATTACTTTGATTGACTTAGTCATTCTTCTTTTATTTGGCATTTAGTGTTTGGAACTTTTTTGGTTGGTGTTAGGTTGCTTTTAGATCATTCTAACTTTTTGGGCCAGGCTTCTTTAGGATTGAGCCTTGTGTCTGCTTTTGCGGTTGGTTTTTTTGTGTTGACTGTGTGACAAGCTGGGATTTTAAATGTCAGACCCTATATTTTCAGACTTTTGCCTTCTGTCCTGGCCTATCTCCATGCTTGTTTGTTTTTCAGCCTTTCTTTGGTGATTTTCTTTTCATAATCCTGTGCTGGAAGAAAGATGAATGGAGAACAGGATTAGTATTTTGGTCTCTGACCCTGCAGTGCCATGTGAATGCCCAGGAACTAGCCAGAGTAAACACCAGTTGCATGGTAACCGATCTTTACTGAGGTAACCATGCTGAGAAGTTTCTAGTGAGGAGACTGTCCTAAATTGTTCTTGACAAGGCATACTATTTTTGTTTAAAATTTCTTGCTTTTCCTGTAAAGCTAGATTTCAAGTATGTTAAAGCTGAATTCATTTGTACTCGGGATATAATGAGATCTTGTGCTTTTTACTTTCAGAAAACCAGCCAAGAACAGCAGTCTGAAAAAGACATACGTATCCAAAATTGCCAGGGAAACCTGCTGTTTACTTACATATGCTTTCTGAGAAACCGCATGGCAAGTGAATGTCGTCTTTGTCTGAACTCACATAGCCTGGCTCTGCGGGTGGACCGTGCTAGCGGATTCGGACTTGGTTTTTAATTCAGTTACTGAAATGGCACGTAGAGCTAGACTTAACTGCCAGTGGCTTGTGACCCAGGAGGTTGCTTACAATGGCATCAGTCTGTGAGCCTGACACTGTGTTTCATTTCCTTTGGTTCTGGAACTGCTTGGCAGCTGTCTTCTTCAAAGTTCACCCTTCGTGGCCAATTATTCTCTGCTGTTAAAATACAGGATGATTTTTATCTTAACCACATGGTGAGCCAAAGAGCCAAATCCAGATATTGGGTTCTGTGAGTTTGGGTAGAGAGAGTATGACTAACGATGATAAATCATTTAGATCTACATGGCTTAGAACAGAAGATCAGATATGGATCCTAAGATCTGCAAATACTAGCTTGGTGCCTTGGGCCCTCGGAAGTGCTGTCCTGAGGTCATTTCCATGTGGCTTCACGGGAAGCACAGGTGCCAAATGGCTTATATCTTAAATTCCTAGAAGCCATCGTCTTGCTCAGTAAGCTGTTCCAACACTGTATCATACAGAGAAATAGGAGCTTGCGGCTTCTCTTACCTCTCCAACAAGAGCTGTCATCCAGTGTTCTCCTGACCGCTTCTGGTCATTTCTGAGAAGAAGGTTGGATTTCACAAGATGGGATGTAATCCATATCATCACTTAAAGGTTCTGCCTGAAAATACTGTGTTTCTTTAATTTCCACCAAAATTTGTCCCCAGGAACTTCTACCCATGTGGTTAGTTGTTTCTCACAGAAGCTCTGCAGAAGGTTGGCATCATCTGCCTTTTCCGTTTTGCAGATAGAGAGAGCCAGTCTTTGGCCTTTAGCCAGGATTTAGTATTACGGTAAGTTGGCTTGAGTAAACTTGCCAGCCTTATGCTAACTCTGGTACAGAGGCCAACAGCTAAACCTTGGGGACTAAGATTATATAAGTGTGAAAGCACCTGACCAATTGTAGATGTTAGGTGATTTTGCATTGAAAGTACCAACTAGTCAGATAGAGCCAGATTCAGTTTTTAGCCTTTTATTTTTATACTAGAGGACCGATACACAAAATTTGTGCATGGGGCAGGGGAGGGCAGTCAGACATCACTCTCACAATCCGGGACCGCTGACTCCTAACTGCTCACCTGCCTGCCTGCCTACCTTATTGCCCCTAACTGCCCCACTGCCAGCCTGGTCACTCCCGACTTGTCCCCCCTCCTACTAGCCTGGTCGCCCCTTACTGCCCCCCCGCACTGGCCTGGTCACTCCCAACTGCCCCCCACATACACACTAAACTGGTCGCCCCCATCTGCCCCCCCTGCTGGCCTGGTCGCCCCACGCAGCCTGCCGTTCAGTCATTTGGTCGTCCCTCTGGTTGTTTTGGTTGTGATGGCCCCTGGATTTTCTATATTAGGATGATGATGATGATGATGATGATTATTATTATTACTAAAAACCTGGTGCATGAATTTGTGCACTTTTGGGTCCCTCAGCCTGGCCTGCGCCTTTCGCAGCCCAGGAACCCTGCCTGGGACATCCTTAGTGCTGCCCCAGGGGCAGAGAAGCTCCCACCACTGCCCTCACTCGCTCGCCATGAGCCCGGCTTCTGGCTGAGCGGTCTCCCCTGAGGGAGCACACTGACCACCAGGAGGCAGCTCCTGCATTGAGCGCATGCCCCCTAGTGGTAAGTGCACATTATAGTGATAGGTCATTCAGTCGATTTGCATATTACCCTTTTGTTATAGTATAGGATTACTAAAATCCTCACCCAAGGATATAGTTTTTATTAATTTAGAGAGAAGAGAGGAAGGAAGACAGTGAGAAACATCAATTGGTTGCCTCCTGTATGTGCCCCTACCAGGGATCAAGCCTATAACCCAGGTATGTGCTCTGACTGGGGATCAAACCCACAACCATTTGGTGCACTGGACGACGCATCAATCAACGGAGCCATTCAGCCAGGGCCAGATTAAATTTTGATCTCTGCCACTTGATAACCTCAGGCAGATTAATTCTATAAACCTAAAATGTTCCATCTATCCATCTCTGGAATCAAGTTAATAATTAGAGCTGTAAGATTTAATGAAGAGCAAATGAGATAATACAAGAAAGTGCTTAACATAGTGACTAATAATGGTTAATAAGTAATTTTTAATGAGGGCTTATTGTGATTATGTAATTATTATACAATGGGCCTTTAAATCCTCCTTCCTGTGCCCTATCTTTCTTTATGACTTCTTGATTTACTGGGAAGACCAATGTTAGCATTATAAGAAAATGGGATGGGCACACAAACAATGTTTCTGCCCCCGGAGATGTCCCTTCTTTCTCAGGAGGAAGTTTGGGGTGTGAGCTAAGTAATCTGTCACGTTGCCAGAGCTGGGAATCGGGAGTTAACTAGTCCTTTTACCCTGCTTACAGGAGAAGCACTTCTTTCTGCTCAGTAATAGCATGGCTGCCTCTATTTTCCAAGATTATTTCCTGCTCTGTGGCTCTGTCATTTAAGTACATATTTTAACATTGCATCTCATCCTGCTTTGTCCTTCGGTCCAGAATTCTTAGTCCATGGTCTTTAGGGTTTTATTCCAGATAAATCTAGAGATCCTTCTAGAAAACTTGATTTCATTTAAGTTTTGAAAACTTTTGGCATAAAATTTTGAATTTTAAAATTTGTAATATCTGTCATTCTAGCTTGCTTTTCATTCCTAATATTTTTTTTTCTTGATCAAATTTATGAGTTTTCTCTCCTTTTTTTCAAAAAAGCACCAGCTTTTTGTTTTGTTGGTCCTTGCTTTTGGATTCATGAATTTATGCTCTTTCTGTTGTAAGTTTATTCTGGGTCTTTTTTCCTCTAATTGGACAATTTTTCAGTCATCTCTTTTTTCTGATATATATATGTAAAGTTGTTCCCTTTAAGTCTTACTTGAACTATCTTCTACAATTTCGATGTGTAATTTTTTGTTTTGTAAAGTCAGGTTTGTCGAGGTTTAATTTACATATTTTTATATATTTATATAAAATTTGTTCCTTTTGAGTGTACAGTTTGATCAGTTTTGACAAACGTATAAAGACATATAATACCATCATAATCAAAATATAGAACATTTCCATCATCCCCAAGAGCTCCCTCGTACCTTGTTTTTGTCCCTTTAGTTTTCTTTCCCACAAAGCCATGGGAATGGAGTCATACAGTTCACAGTCCTTTGTGTCCGGCTGCTTCCCTTTGGCACACTGTTTTGAGATTCCTGCATATTGTTCCATGTATCTACAGTTGTTCCTTCTTTTTGCTGAGTAGTTTCAATTTTCTGTCGATGCCACAATTTATCTATTCACCATTAATATAGTTTTCAATGGGATCAAATGAGAGCATTTTAATTTTGCACTTGGCCTGCAAATAAACATACCAGAGTATTCAAGATTTGAAATTATTTGAGTATTTTTTATATTTAAGGTTTTACTTGAGGTGTGCATTTTGGAAGTTTTCCCGTGGACAAACATGTGCTCCTGTGTACTCACCGTGCTCTTCCTCCCAGTAGTAGTCTAGGTACAGAGATAGAAATCACACAGTAGGTTAAACAGAAATTTAACACAAGGAATTATTAACTGTGAGAAAAGAGTAATAGCTAAGATTGAGGGGAACTGTATGGTTCCCCAGGACTGTGGGGAATACCCAATGAAGGACAAACTACCAGGGGTTCAGAACTCAGTGGAGAAGGTAGGGTTCAGCCCATGGCATAGCAGAGGAGTTCGCTGATTTGGCTAAACCAGATGTGGCCCAAAGGCTCTGGGCAAGCCATAGGCTATCCTCGGGAGTGCCGGCGAGAAGCAGTCCATCAGCAGCCAGAAACATGGGTGTACACTGGGGGTCTGGGCAGGCTCTGTGGGGGCTCTGCTGTCCAGGTTGACAGGGCTGCCAGACTTTGAAGAAGTACGGAAAGGGATTCTGTTGTTTACCACAGAGAATATATACAATAGAAAGGTGCATTTGGAGCAAAGAGATAATAAATTAGTGACTAATATACTGTCTCTGTTCTTAATATTTTTATTTATTTATTAATCTAATTTTCTTTTATTTTTTCTCCCCTCTCCCTGTCATTGTAGATTCCAAGCTGTCTGTCAGACCCCAGATTGGAGTTAGTTTCTTTCTTCATGATGCTAGTTCATTACAGAAAATAATTAGTATACAAATTTTAAAGAACATTCTTATATCAGAGAAGCTAAGCATTTTAAACTCTGAGCTTAGATGAGGTTACTGCTATAAAGATGACGATCATCTTTTCTGAGCCAAAAAACTAGGTAATGGTTCTTACAAAGAATTTTTTTCTAGTGTGAATTTATACACATTTGAGGAGTATTACCATGTCATAAATTAAATCACTTTGGTTATTTGTACCAATTAAACATTTGTTGAAAAAAATAAAGGACTGTCCCAAAGTATCTGGAGCATATACATACTAATACTTTCCAGAATAGGAATACACTCATCTTTTTTAGACAGTCTTAAATCAGAAAAAGAAAAAAAGAAAAAAGACAAAAATCCCTATTAGGCAGTTATGTGTTTCTGGCAGGATAAAAATCTCTCTCTCTCTCTCTCTCTCTCTCTCTCTCTCTCTCTCTCTCTCTCTCTCTCTCTCTCACACACACACACACACACACACACACACACATACATACACACACACACCACAGCTATCACTACCACCACCCTATCTAGACACGATTTCTGTTTTTGACAGGATTTGATAGCCATTGCAGAAAAATTCTGACATGCCTTGTAGATAGAACTTATCTGCTTCTTTTGCAGAGTTCTTTTTTTTCTCAAAGGCTATTGAGAGGATATTTCTGTGGTGCCAGGGTTCTTGTTCCAGCATTACAAAGGGTTCAGCAATCTGGATAAAGGCTGTGCATAGATTAAATAAGAGTCCATAGATGAAAGATAATTTTGAAAGGCATTGGACAT